TAAAACAAAGCTGCTTTATAAATCTTGAAATTTTAACTTTTGTCCCATATGTGGCATATAAGATTAAAAGTTAAAACATAAATAAACTTTATAAATTATATAACCCATTGGAGACATTTGTGATCACAAAAGTAAGTAAATTTCTGCAGGCTCAATATGTGTAGGCATTAGTGGGGTCAGAATGGAAGAGAGAAAAATTTTAATTATTTATTCTGTTACTTTCCCTATTTTTAGAAGCTAAAGAATCATAAACTAGGATTCAGCCATTCATTTAACATATATTTGTTGAACTCCTTCTATGGCCCTGGAAAGTTATAATCCTCTGGTATGCAAAAAAAATTAATGTTTTATTATATTTATGTGTGTATATGCATATATAACATATTCGTGTACATATATGCATAAATTATATGCAGATCTATGTATATACATCAACTAGCAACTACAGAGCTCTTTTTATTTGCCAGAAATTTCTCAAAGCACTTTACCCATTTAATAATTTCAACAACCCAATAAAATATGTATTATTTTCCATTTTGCAGATGATTAAACTGAGACAGAGATGATAAACTAATTTCTTAAATCATACAGCTCTTAAGTGGGAACATTCTGTGGATGGATAAAAAGAAGAATTTAACCATCAGAAGAACTTTAAATCATGAAAAGAATAGATCACTGCATTTGTTTTTGTGAAGGTCTTTAATGGCAGAAAAGAAGTTTCCTTTCTTCTGAGTTTGAACAATACTTTATGTTCAGGAGATACATTTTAGTCACTACCAATAAAGCAAATCTTTTTTCAGTCCTTAAATCAGTCTTGCATTGGTTCTACAGTATTTTAGGGAGAGGTCTTGCTCATAGCCCGTGGCGTTTATATATGATGTAACACTTACTATTTTTTTAATAGTCATAACACTCTAAAAAAGAAACTTTTGAAAAGACTACAGCTCGGGTTTGAAATTTGTCTTGCTTCCATTTTTTCATAGCACCAGATTACTTCCCAGACAGCAAGGGGAATGTTATTTTGTCCTTTTAGCAGATAGAAAGTTGTAGCATAAAGAGATGAAGAAACTTGCCATTACATTGTACAGAGAAGAGAAAAAGTCAAATCTCTTCACCCTACTCCAGAGTTTTCAACCACTTCATGCTACCTTCCCACATCGAACAGTGTCTAATCATCTGGAAACAAATCATAATATAGCCACTGGCTTTAGATGGCAGTGGATAGGGTCTCTGTACCCCACCCCCCACAGTGGGTGCCCTTCCCCTCCACCCACCCACTGTGTGATGTCACCTTCCATACCCAGCAGGTATGACTTTCAAGATGACTGCCAGGGCATGGGAATTTTTATCTCTCTGGACCCCAGTTCCTCTGCCTGGGGAAACAACCCAAACACACAACTTAAACTTCCGAGTCCCACTGCAGCATCAGGCTGAAGTGACCCTTTTTGCCTGACATCCCCTTTGTTTGGCTTACTCCCCTTCCCTGGCCTACTTCTCCAGGCCTTTACCACTGTCCCTGGGTGCTTCCTCAATAAATCATTCATACCTGTATCCAAGTCTCAGAGTCGGCCTCTGTGGAACTTAATCTAAGATAGATGCTACCTATTATTATTAGCATTGTTATAACAATTATTGTCATAATAATTAAATTTTTGCTTTCCATATAGTCCTAGTGACAAAAATACACATTCCTGCCTCCTTCTGAGACCTAGATTTGGATTGGCAACTACTGAGCACCATCCAAGCGGACAATCTGCAAGCTCTCCTAATGTCCAAAAGATAATGCGTTCTTATCTCTGTTAGTGGACATTTCTTAAAGAAGAGAAATCTGTCATTTCAACTTTTTCTCTTCTTTACCTTCTTATATTCAATTAGTCCCCAAATCTACCTGTTCATGCCTTTTTTTCAATTTTTTTATTACTTCTCTTTTCATTACTGCTTAGTTTACATTATCACCACTTCTTTCTTGTATGACTGTAATAATAGTCTACGTTTCTCTGTTGTCTCCATTTTCTATCTTCAGATTTACCCTATACCAGAATGATCTTGAAATATGACCAGGTTATTTCTTTGCCTGAGGATTTCCCAGAGTCTGGGATACAAGCCCCTGCCCACCCCAGCTCTAATCAAAACCCCCAATTACATCTCATGACAGACTCCTCCACTCAATGCAACGCCACAGCGTCAGAACTGCTGGGAAGCTTTCTAAATGCCCTTCACTCTGCATGTGAGTGTCCACGAGTGTGCCTCTGCCTGCAACACACTTCCCCCTGATTATCTGGCTCCTGCTCATTCTTTATCATTCTGTGTTACAGCCCACTGAACCATCTTCAGTGGCACCTCCACTGAATCATCTTTTCTGAAATTTACCAGAAAATCGTTCTCCTGTCCTCATTCGAGTGAGCTGGTCACAGTGTTTGTCGCATGGTTTGATCTAGACTGTCTGCTTCTTGCTCTAGGCTCCTAGCTCCTTGAGGGCAAGGACTTTATTAGCCATGTATTTTTAGCTTGATGCACATACTAGGCGAACAATATAGGCATGTTGAAAAACATGTAATAAATATTTTGTGAATAACAAAAGAATGTTTTTAAAAATTTTCCAGTAATTCTGAGGTCCAGATTTATAGAATTTATAGAGTTCTGCTGTTACTTTTTCAGAATTCAGAAGTTCTTTAACCCACATCCCAATTCCAGGAAGCCCATTAATAATGTCCCTAACATGTATGGTCTACCCACAATCTGCTTGGACACAATAGTAGAGTTTTATTTTCTTGTCTGCAAATGGGGACAATTACATTTATCTCACAGATAATATGTAAAACAAAGAAAAAACGACAAAATGCAGGGCACTAAGTTCCCTTTTACAAAGAGTGACTGTTGAAAGGTCATTCTCAGGAGGGAAGATTTGTCAATTATATTTGAAGAAACCCGTTCTTTTTTGGGAAAGTTCTAATTCCATGGTCAGTGAACAATACTCATTAACTTAAAATGTTAACGAAGATGTCATATAATAATCTTTCAAAGGACAAAAAGGAATACTTACATCTACAGAATCTTTACTGGCTTATGATTACATCAGATTGAATCATTCCATTAGGTAGTCAATAGTTTATAACAGAGTTGGCTATATCTAGATTTATTGTAGATAATTCTGGATTAAATAGCTTATCTTTCAAAACAAAATATTTTAAATTAAGAAACAGGTTAAACATTTTGTAGATTCTGTGCTCTAAAATGTATTTATGTCCAAGAGAATGATATCATTTGCTTCTAAATATTTTTGGGCTTCATATAATTCTTTGATCCCACATAAGAGGTAGATGTACAAATTGCTCTATAAATATTGATTGTAAGTATATATATATTTTGCTAAATTAAAATGCATGAAAACATTTAAAATTTCTAGATTTAAATGGTAGCATATTTAATCATGCATGTAAGATTCTTACTGCAACCCCTAGTTCTGGTTTAAAAGAAGTTTAAAATATACATATTGACAGATAGATACTTTTAATAAAATTCCCTGATGGTCTTGATCTTCTGAAGTAACACCTTAAAAAATTTTATTTCTTCATTACATAAAAGTGCAAAAATTTTTAGATGAGTTGTGTAATGCATAGTGTCCAGTGACATTCATGAGATGGCACAAACATTAAGATCTTTTATTTAAGTTGCTCCCAATGGAAATGTGGATGTAGGTTAAAAAATAGGCAAGGCTCAATAGGAGATACGTTTGCCTTAAAATATGTGTATCTTTATTTATGGTGGAAAAAAGTAAGTGATAGTTACTTACTTCATTGGGTTATAGCCCTATATTGAAAAGGTTAATAACAGACTTCCATTAATTACACAGTGGCTAAAAAGACATTTTGCACAGAATTTTAAATCCATTTACCCAGTGTTGGTTAGAAAATCTCCACCAGCACCAAAACATCTGAAATCAAAATGTAAATAAAGATCAAAGGCTTTGCACAGCTGGGAATGGTGGCCATCAATTCACACCAGGCGTCACTGAGCAGTTAGCAAAATCATGTTTAATAGCTATGCTGAGTGTCAGTGTCACCTTAAAAGCTGTGTATGACTGGATACCAGGGAAGGAAAATGGAGAAGCAATTAAAAAGAAAAGCTAAAAAATATCAGCAAAGTCCCCAGGAAAATGTTGCCTGACAGAGAAGAAAAACTATTTGGGCTTTAAAAGTTATTTCATCTTTAATCAATGGATTCATTTTGCAGATAATTGTTCTAAACTGTTTGTTGAATTAGTAAGCATTTTGATTTTCAAATAAACCCACGGGACATTATCAAGTAACCTGAAATAAGATTTGACACTGTGCTTCATCAATTCCTCTCTTTAAATTAGGCATGCAAAGTCCAAGTCACCTCCTAGAGATCAAGAGTGAATTATGTCTTACTTACGTGAGGTTGCTTTATGCACAGAGTCTTCTTTATGGAATCATTTCAAAGAACAAGGTGATAAATATGAATTGAATTCTTCCAGAATGAGATTATCACTCGGAGCAACAATCGGTGGATCTCACAATTAAAGAAATAGGCCATCCCCTCCCCCTTCTCTTTATAATGCCCTTTAAAGTCTGTCTATCATACATCTGGTGTTTGTTCTCCTAGACTGAAAATATCTAGTAGACCACCAGTAATTTAAATTGTACCCTGTTCCAAGGATACTTGACATGTGGTCCCTTTGGAAGAACTAATGCAAAAAACTGGCTCTAACCCTGAAAATAAGGTTACTATAGACTCACAGAAGGTTGCAATTAACTAATATCAAGAAGGTTGACCTGCAAATTTCTCTCTCAAATGAACACTAATCTCAATTGTAAACCATTTTATGCCATTACAAAGAATGAAATAGTAAGGGTTCTAATGTTTAATTTTAAATTTGATTTCTCTGGAAAGAAAAATAAGAAGGAAATGTCGCATTAAGTTAATAGTTACCAGTCTACCAAAGAACACACACACAGTGCATTTATTTAATGCTTAAAGTTTATAGAAAAATATGAGAGAGAGAGATTTCTTCTGAAGACCATGATATCTGTTTTATAAAAACAGGTTTAAAATAAATACATAAAACTACATAGGTCTTCCTCCATCATTCTTCATCATTATTGCAGTTTCCTAGGGGGTGGGGGAAGAATAGAGTCATTAGAGTATTAGAGCATGAAGGGTTAGAAATGATGTAATTTAACCACTGCACTTCATAGATTAGGAAATTAAAACTCCAAATCACTGAAGTGGCTGGCTGCAGTGTGCACAGCCAGTACACTGGCAAACACGAACTAGAAACCTGGTTTTCTGATTCAAAGTCCAGAACACTTTTACAATACCATAGTGTCTCTCATAAAATATTCTGCATGTATCTCTGTAATTGATAAAATATGGGCATACTTAACAAGAAGGTTTAGATGGAAGCCTATAAAAGTTAGTGACAAATTTACATAAATTCTCAAACATAAAAGGCTCCATTTTGAGCAATTTTTAAGTGGAGGGGGCAATAAGAATGCCTTTTCTAATTGAAAGGAGAAATCTGTTTATTTGAGTATTTTAAAAATAAAAGAATCTGATCATGAAACATTTAAGACTTACCTATAAAGAATTACTTTAGTTTCATGTTGACTGTTTGAAACCAGGTGCAATACTAGAAGCGGAAGGAAGATGTTATTCCAGTATGTTACGAATTACAGTGCTGTCCATCTGTGAGTGACAGGATCAGTAGAAATCCCTGTGATGCTTTCTTTTATACTTCTGTTACTTAAAGAGCTGTTATAGAACAACACACAAGGCTAAAAACACAAAATAAAATGAAAATTGAACCTGGCATGTAATTTTAATTTATGATAATAAAAATAGATTTGTCTATAAAAATAGTAAGAGATCAATATATAGTTATCCTGAGAATAAGTAATTTATCAATCATGTTAGCTGTTTACATTTTCCATGTAGTCCTGCAGCACCCTCTCTCCAGTGACCATTTTTCCTGCATGCTTTCCAATTCTGTTTTTTCTTGGCTTAGCCATCTGTGGAAAACTGGACCACTCACTTATTTCCACATATAAATATTAAATACTGACATGTAACTCATAAGACCATTAAATCCTGAAAATGTAAATACTACTGAACTAAAATCATTCTTGATTCTTTTATTATATGTCCAAAATAACAAAATTGAACAACAAATTTGGTATTAAAAATATGAACAATTTGGATGAAGTGCAGATTTCAACACAGGAAGGGAAATAAGCATTTGGAGGACTCAAAACAGTATCACTAATAATACAATTAACAATCTCCACAAATAAACTCGGCAGTATCTGCAATTGATACTGTCACAAAGTAAAATGTTTACTAATTTTCACAAAGTAAGAAATTAGAAAATGTTACTTTCTGATCATGAGATTTTGACACACTGTTGACAAAATTTTACTCCTAGAGATTTGATCTTGAACAGTATCAACAATCAGGAAAGATATCTAATACAAGCAAAGACAATATTAGCAACTTCTCTATATGTGATCAACTTAATTTCCAAAATTGGTCTAGGCTGCTTTTATTTTTGAGACAAAGTCACCTTAAAAGGAATATATAAATTTTATCTCAAGTTTCCCTTCAAGGTCTGCAGAGATCTTCTAGAAAATGAAGTGATAAAGTAGCTATGAAAACATAGAGATTATCGGTGTGACTTGCTGGTTCAATTTCTTAAACCACACTTTCCTCATCTGAAAAATATGGAAACTAATAAATATCTTGCAGGGTTGTGTTGAGTTTCACAAATAACACATGTAAAATGCCTGGTGTGCCAGAGAAGTTTAATAAATGATAGCTAGTGTTATTAATGTGACAGGAGAACTTAGAACATAGCAAAGCATAGGAGAAACTTCAGGCAGAGGAAAGGAATAGAAAATGCCACAATTTTGCTAGGTTTGGCTCTATTAAACATCATCTTGGCAAGAACAAATCATTTGTAAAATGCAGCATTTCTTTGTGCAGGTGCAAATGCATGATTTATACACTTGTAAATAAAGCTGGCCTTACACAAGTTTGACTATATAAAATTGGACTTTTTTCCCAGGGGATTTGGAATCATGGAATCATGTATAAAAGAAAGTGCAGTTGTTGAGAATTCATAATAATAATCATTGTGGAAATAATGATGTCAGGAAAAGCTTAGGATATTTGGAAATAAATTTTTTTAAATGCCATTATACCTAAGCCCATGGTCATGGCTTTCTTTTTAAGAAATAATACTGGTAGCTAATAAAGTACAATCAGGATCATGTGCAAGAAATAATATTCTTCAAGTAATAAGATGAGTAAAAGAGAGTTTAAAATCATAGGCAACGTGCTGTCACATAAAGATCTATATGGAGGGGATCATTAAACATGGGGTAAATGTCGGTTATTCACTTGCTCACTGTGCAATAATAGATAAAATATTGGATCTTGTTTTTTTTCAGCAATAATCTAGGTCAGTGTGTCCCTGGTTTTCCATCATTTTATTTTATTTTATTTTTTATCTTTTGTTTGTTTATCCATGAAATTTTTCCTTCAAAAGATAGGATACTCATACGCCTGTTATTTAAGACAAAATTCTATCTTCTCTGATTGAAGTGGATGTAGTACCCTGGCATTCTTCCAGCTTCCAGATTGGCATACATACCCTGTCCCAACCATCCTATTGCACCATGAAACCAAGTTTGAAGCAATCTTTTCAGGATTCTTTTGGTAGTGAAATGTTTGGTCTAATGGTTCATTTTGAACAAGTGTTACACTTTCCTTAAGAATATTTCTCCCTTCTCTGTATCTATGAGTCTATTTTTGTTTTATTCATTTGTTTTGTAATTTTAGATTCCACATACAAGTGAAATCATAGAATATTTGTCTTCCTCTGCCTGTTATTCCACTTAGCACAATATCTTCTTGGTCTATCCATGTTATTGCACATGGCAAGATTTTGTTCTCTTTTCATGAGTGAGTAATATTCCATTGTGTATATGTACCACATCTTCTTTATCTATTCATACCATGGGGGAGGGAGGTGGGAGAGTAGGTAAAATGGGTGAATGTGATAAAGAGGCACAAAATTCCAATTACAATATAAATTAGTCACAGGTATGAAAGTACAGCATAGGGAATATAGTCAGTAATATTATAATATCATTGTATGTTGACAGACAGTAACTGCACGTACTGGGGTGAGCATTTAATAATGTAGTAACTGTCAAATCACTAAATTGAAACCAATATAATGTTGTATATCAACTGTACTTCAATTAAAAAATATTTCTCCCTTTTTGGTTATTCAAAGAAAAATTACCCTCTCTCATTTATTTATAAAGATAACATTTGGAGCTGAGTTATCCACAGTTCTCCCCAAAAGACAGTATGGTATGAAGTAAATAAGAGTGATTTTGAGCAACAAAATTTCATTCAGTTCGTTTCATCTCCATTTACCTCGGTGTTGCCCAGGGAGGAGGGGTTCCCCCCCAGTGCAAGTTCCCTCTGAATTCAGTGAGACCTAATGAAAGCAAGGACAAGGAGCTGGGCATTTAAGGGGCTATCACATTCACTCTCACAGCAGCAAGTCCCCGTCTCTCCTTGCTCCCTGCTCTCCCAGCTGCATGCCAAGCTCCCTGCCCCCACTCCCGGGCTTGATTCTCCAGACACTGGGGCTCCATGGCTCTGTTCCCACTCTCCCTGCCATGCCCTCCTTCCTCACCCCTCGCGCTAGGAGGAACTCTGTGGGTGGGTCTCTGATAACTGGCAGACGTCTGACCTATTACACACCAGCAACAGAGGAGAGGAGAGAATGGTGTTTCCTCTCCACCCCTTCCCTGGGCCAGCAATCCCATGACTAATCAGCCACTCTGTCCCTAGTAAACATCCCACAGATGTGCAAACAGGCTCTTATATGTATATACAATGGGCACTGTTAGAGCCAGGCGGTAATCCTGGTTAGAAATAATCCATTTTCTCCACACTGGGTAACAATGGTCAAATCTAAATTCTCTGAGTCTTAATGTTCTCAAATAACTACTGTACAGAATGATGTGTGCTCACCTCAAAGGATTGCTGTGAGCCTCCAATATATAAATATATAAATGTGCTTTAAATATTTACAACATTAACATTCTATACTAACCCTCATTTCCATAGATTCAGGTTATAAATTTATGGTAGCTATTCAAATAAATCAGACAGAGAAAGACAAATACGATGTGATTTCACTTTTATGTGGAAACTAAAAAACAAAACAAATAAAACAGAAATAGACTAAACACAGAGGACAGACTTATGGTTGCCATAGAGTAGGGGAATGGGGAGATGGGCCAATGTGAAGGGGGTAAGGAGGTATAAATTTCCAATTATCAGATAAATTAGTCACGGGGATGAAAGTACAGCATAGGGAATATAGTCAATAATATTGTAAAAAATACATTCAATTGATAGCTGATTCACTTCTCACATTAAATCCTTGAAAATAATAAAAATACTAATTTACAGAGCTTTTTCATAAAAATACTAATTTATAGAGTCATCATTTGTATTGTAGAATATTACACTTGAAATAATAAGTATTTCTATTTTAATTACTAATAGAATTTCAACATATGAGACACTCAAGAATGCCTCCAAGGGAAGTAAATATTCAAATATGACAAATCTGAATGGCATGGCCTGTTTCTTTATTGGTATTGATATGACAATTAGAGTTCATGGGGACCCAATCACTTCTCATACATAAGCTCAGAAATACCAAAAATACTTGGAAGCAGGCATTTACCTTTTTGGCTTTTCAAAGGCCAAGGTTGAAAACAAAGCCAATCAGCAGATTTGGGCCAAATTTGAGGACTACAAGAGAGCTTTGGTGCATCTTTAAATGTATTTAAATTTCACAAGTTGTTTCTTGTTTTCCATTTCTTCTTTTCTTTATTTTGTTTTATTCTTGTTTTGTGGAAAGGATTATCATTTTGAATCTCTCTAAGGGATAAACCATAGATATTTATTCAAAATTGTTCTGAGTTCTAAGCAGGGAAGACCTGCTTCCCAGGTGTATGATCTGTGCAGTCCCAGAGTGCCCTGTGCTCATAAGTCTGTGTCCTGGTTTAATGCTTGACTGCGGCCATTTTGAAATCTTTAATAATTTTTTAACAAGAGGACCCATAATTTTCTTCACTGGGCTCTACAAATTATGTGGCTGTTCCTGGTGCCAAGTTCACACTTTCTTCCTGGGTCAATTTTGTTCTTTTCATTGTTTACCTTGTCCTCCTATTTTTGATGTTGCTCTTTTCTGTTTTGAACAGGCAAAAGGTGAGCCTCTTAAGAAAGCTCATGGTATACCTGCGCATACAGGCAGGGCTCTGCCTTAAAATGCACAGGCAAGGAGCCCTCCTTAGCCTGTGGAGACTTAAAGCTTGTTCTTGGGACATTCAACCTCTTCATGGGACACATTTAAAATCAGATCTAATACTTAACCAGTCACTCACTCTAAGGCACAAATGAGAACAGACCCCTCTTGATCCTCCTCACATGTAGCAGAATGCATCTGTAAAAAATATTTTCCCAGAAAAATAAAATTTTAATGATGCTCTACTCATTATTTTATCATAAAACATCTAACAAATGATACATTTCAAGAGTCAAACAATATAAAATGTGATTGATTTAGTAGGAGAAATGCTGTTTTGAGTAGCTAAAGGGAATCCACTTTATAAAGTGGCTCAGGTACAGAAAATACCTGGGAAAATTCAAGATAATATACTTTATTGTGGACATGAGAAAATGCTAACACCTGTGTCCCCACACACATTTATGTGGATACCTTATCCTGAATATTTTTAAATGATAGAAAGAGTTGGAGATAGCTGACTGAGGAGAGTTGGAGATACATAGAGAAGCCTGGGGTATTGAGAAAAAACAGTGAAACCAAGTCTCACTTTAATCTGTTTTATTATCATTGTTTCATATTCAAAGTATTGGTATTCTAAAATTTGAAAAATACCCAAAAAGTGTAATCTTTCCAGTAACTAGTGATTCCTTTATCAAAAGTACTCAAAGTAATACAAATTCACTGTAACACCTCAACCTTTGTGACAGAAAAAACACTTTCGTGTTAAAACAATACACAGAGGGGCGGAGCCAAGATGGCAGCGTGAGTAGAGCAGTGGAAATCTCCTCCCAAAAACACATAGATCTATGAAAATATAACAAAGAAAACTCTTCCTAAAATAGAAACCAGAGGACACAGGACAACGTCCAGACCACATCCACACATGCAAGAACCCAGCGCCTTGCGAAGGGGGTAAGATACAAGCCCTGGCCCGGCGGGACCTGAGCGCCCCTCCCCCCAGCTCCCGGCGGGTGGAAAGAAACAGGAGCGGTTTTTTTTTGGCGAGTGCTTTTTGGAAGCCTTAAAGGGGCAGGACAGGACACTTAGAAGAGAGGCAGGGAATCTGGGGATCTCTGGGCACGCTAACCCCCTGGGCAACAGGGAGCACAGAGGCCCATTACTGAGATAAATAGCCTCCTGGCCGCTCCCACTCCAATGGGGCTCCACCATTTTGGAGGAGCAGCCCCAGCCAGGCCATGCCCACAGCAACAGCGGAGATAAAATCCATAGCAAACGGGCAGGTAGCAGAAGCCCTGTCTGCGCACAGCTGACAAGCATAAGCCACTAGAGGTCGCTGTTCTCCAAGGAGAGGAATGCCACAAACCAAGAAGAAGGGAAGCTCTTCCAGCAGTCACTTGTACCAGCTCTGAAAACTATCTCTATCACCATGAAAAGGCAAAACTACAGGCAGACAAAGATCACAGAGACAACACCTGAGAAGGAGACAGACCTAAACAGTCCTCCTGAAAAAGAATTCAAAATAAAAATCATGAACATGCTGACAGAGATGCAGAGAAAAATGCAAGAGCTATGGGATGAGATGCAGAGAAAAATGCAAGAGCAATGGGAT